AACAACAGTGCTCACAACCAATAAAACTAACAACGAAAGAAAATACTTTTGTTACTGATTGTCAAACATTGTTGTTTATCTCCTGATAGCCACGTCATAAGAATCAAGATGATTCTACATCTTCTTTCCCTTTACTTTCAAATATTGTTGTTTAACTTAAAATGTAATAACATGAAACATTCGACCTTGCCGTAACGCACTTCCGTTGCATTTGTACAGATTTACACTCTAGTAGCGCCTAAAGAAGTTTTACTTCAAAGACCTAACTATACTTATTTCTGAAATATTATTGGTGGTGAACCTTTAGGCTTTGTTGTAACCTAATATTGCAAGATATTTTAATTTAGATGTATAACATCGGATAAAATTATACCCGGCACGCATTTCGTTGTGAATCTAGTTAATTAATGTTAAACGCTTGTCGCGTCTGAAGGCAAAAAAATACATTTATTCAAATCGGACTTGTCTGATGGGAACACATTGCGATATCTTTTTTGTCCTTAACATGTCAGTCGATTCTTATAGGCGGCATGTTGGTGCTCAATACATGGTTGTCTTATATACTTCGTAATTTATTTTGTTATTCGATTTAAATATTAGCATGGGTAAATAAGGTTTATAAAGATATTGATTACTGAGTAATGTATTACGTTATATTTATTTATATTGTACATAACTTAAGTTGTAACTTTTATTAAAATACAACTTGTATACATAATTCTATATTAAATATTTGAAAGACAAATATTTACTAATAACCTTATTTAAAGTTTTGTTTCTATATATAAAAAATAAATAAATAATTAAAAAATAAACACAAAATTTTAGTTAGGGTCTAATCCTAATATGAAGGTGGCTGAGGAGTTATAACTTAAATATTCATCAATAGAGTAAAAACATGTTCTTCAAAAATTTATTGAGTAATTTATAAAATTTTCAATTTCTCTACTACTACTCCTAGTGGCAATTTGTTGAAAAGCATTAAACCCAGTTCATCTAAAGTGTTAAATGAGGAAGCGGAAGTTAATGTGGGACCTTTATCAAGTTTATGTCTTGTGTCGTAATGATTAGTTTCGGGATTTGGGCTTAAATTAAACAGGTTAGCTTTATCATTTATGAAACAGAGGATGATCAAGAGATTCATGGTAGAATCTCGTGCTCACAGAAAAAAGTCTACAAGATGTAGTGGACGATAGGGAAAACATAATTGTAATTGCTTTTTTTGTAATTGAAATACTGATGTACGTAAAGGTAAAAACCCCAAAATTGAATACCGTAAATTACATTTGAAGAAATATATAATTGATAAATTGTAAAAAAGCTATCTTTGCTTACTTCCATTTTTAGATCGCGAAGCAATAAGCAGTCTTTTGATAATTCAGGACTTATGGTAAAGCGTTAATAATGTGATAATCCCATTTCAAAATGTTACTTTTTATTCCAAGCAATTTTCTATTATTCAAAAACTCATAAGTGTTATTAAAAATGTACGTGGAAATATTATGACAAATTTTATTATTAGTATTAAACTGAGAGCATGACATGATTGAGTTTTGCTATTAGTTGTTCCTCAGTTTTTGCTTTAATGACTAAATATGTATCAAAAATTGATTTGTGAATGAAGTTTGATTAGAAAAGCATATAATTGAAATATTGATTAATATTAAATTTAGCAAAGAAAGTTTGCTCTCTTTATTTAATATGTATATATTAAGAGCTCATGCGTAATTTTAACATATATAATCCAACATGACAGGTGACAAAATAATATCTAAGTACTCACACGTCCGGGTTTCAAAGCAATTTATATATACATATATATTATATATATATATATATATATATATATATATATATATAAATTGCTTTGAAATATATATAAATTGGCATAAGTATTGTGCCGACTCAAAAATGTTCTGATTTGAATGATTCGAATAAGAAACTGATACGAAATAACTCGATGGAGGATATATATGGACATAATATAATCTGCAAGGCAAAAAACTCTCTCGAGAAATTTATTTAGCAAATGTGATAAATTGCCAACATAAATGATTATCAAATTATTTATAATACAAAAATTATTGAAAAAGGTTCAGTATCCAAGAGGGTTGAAATATATTTATTTTCTCGTAGGGTAAGTTGTAGGTATCGTGAAAGCCTTTTTTATGTGCTAACTTTTCAAAATATAAAAAAAACAATTTTTCAAATATTTCAAATATCTCAAAAATCTAATTATTTGAAAGTGTTAAAAAAATTGAAAACTTTTTTAAAAATTGCGTTTTCGATACGGTAAGTTTCAGCAATTTATCTTAAGGCACGATGCCATGCTGCACTAGTTTTCTTATTAATTTTGGAACGAAATGTTTTTTTTCATTGTACATATAATTGAGAAATTATGAATCAAAAAGTTTAATTGTTATTTAGGAGGTTACTTTAGGTTATTTATAAATCGTTGAAAATCGCTTCTCTAAATGATTTGGCATACCACATGGTCTGTTGACAATACATCAAATTTAAATTCCATTTCTTTACATTATCGATTTTTATCGATTATTGATTGTTTGTCACAAAACGAGGCGCGGAGTATGAATCAGACATCCAAAAAAATGCAACGACTCACTTATCCTACATCATTAATCAATGGTGATATTAATGAGAGAGGAACGAGTTTCAGCGAAAGAAACCGGACAATAAAACGCAAAACAAATATCCAATAACGTGTTCATAATCAGTTATAAAATGGTTTTATTACGCAATTAAGCGCTTAAGTCGAACTGATAATTAACTCCGCAGATAAATGTCTGCGAATTTTTATTAATGGATTTATCAATGTTCTTGTTCAGTGTAGATTGCGTGGTAGTGTACGAATAATGCATGCATGTATCGGCATTTTGCACACCATGCTAAATAGCTGATTAAAATACGATATAGAAATTCGATACTGCACAGAAACAAATACATGCATTCTGACAGTTTTTAGTACCATTTTTATGATAAACGCCTTCCCATTTTACGGCAGAATTGGCCGGTCAATCTTTTTAGTCCTGTGGCAACTATTAACTTTCTAGTTTAATTTTTAATATATTAAAAATATATACGTTTAACATTATGCATTATGCATTTTCAATATTGATAAGACCAAATATGAACCGATCACCACTTTCTATACTTTTCCTTTAACGATTTTTCCTAAACTGCTTACATCTTTTAACGTACGAAAAATATATTATAAAGTATAATAATAGATTTTTAGTAAATCTAGCTAATGTTTAGCACAAATAATATAACTTTTATTTTCAAATTACTATTATCGAGAAAAAAAATTAAGTTTGATACTTGGTCTTTCGTAAACAAAAAAAATTTTAGTTACGTTACAAGAATTCTAATCATTTATCACTAAAGCGAATTTTAGTGCTCGGTTTTTCAACTTTAATTAAATGCTTTAATCGATATTTAAGCAGACATAATATTCAAAGACGATAAAACAATGTCAATTGTAATAAACTTATTCGTAATAGGGGAGACTGGGTACAGTAATGACAGTCTTCATAATAGATAAACTTTACTGATTTTTAAATAGGGTCGAAAGGGAGAAAGATGAAGTATGTTTGTTTGAACAAGTTTTCGTTATTGCATCTAGTCCGCGCACTACATTAACATAATCTGCAGACCGAATTGCTTTTAAAGAGTCAAAAGGGTTTTTGTTCGATTATTTTTAATAATAATTGTTGCTTGTATACAGATAGATCACTTTATTTGTTATTTTTGTATATTATTAGTTTTGTATATTTTGTATATTAGTAGTTAATTTCCAGCTATTAGTTTTGTTTTATATGGAGACATGTATATGTTGTGTCATGACTGTCATGTATTTCTTGTCTTTTTTGGGTGAAATTTAAACAGATAAACAGATAAAGAAATATCTAACTTAACTAAGACAAAATACGAAAGGGAAACGGAAAGAAAAAATTCATTGCAAGAAAACGAAAGATTTCACGAAGATTTTCTTGTTTACAAAATTATATTTTGTTAATATTGTTATATTATATTCATTAACTTTGTTTAAATGATTATGTTGTGTTGTATTACATATTTGTGACTATAAAAATCGTTATGAACCATTAGCTATTGTTATTTAACCTTAGCTCAGGTGTGTGTGGACGGTTGTGACACCCGCTCTTTTTTTGTACGAATTGATTTTATTTTATTTTATTTAATTTATTTTTATTGGCTTCTAAATTACAACTAGCCACTTACAGTCTAATATAAATCATTTCTACTCTAAATGATATAAGAATATATACTTATAATGATCAATGAAAAGTGGCAAGATGTTTATTTAATGTACCATAAATAGTTATATAAGTTTATTTCCAAATATGAATTTTTATTAATATATTTGTGTTTTATAGACATTCTTACAATTCGTGGACATGGCAGCTGACAGTGGTGTACGAGAATCGGTTCTGCATTCCGTTCGAAAATTCTGCACACCTGAATTGGTGAGTTCAATGAAAAAATACTATTAAATTTAATTTCCTATAGCTTCAGTTTTTTAATCAATATAAATTACAATCTGTCAGTAGAAGATGATTGTAATAATAGATAGATTGTGACCATACAGATAGTAATAACATTACAAACAGGCATTCATCCAGATAATATAATAACTAGTGGACTAATAATAAAACTAGTGTAATATAATAACTAGGCTTTAAGGCGTACTGCTGGAACTTTCCGTGCCAAAAATTAAAATTTTTGAAAAAGCTTTAAACATTTTTGCAAAATTTGAAAAAATGTGATTTATGAGAATTTTTTGAAAAAAATTTACTTTTTTGAAAATTTTGATTTTTTTTTTCATGTTATAGTACATATATGTATTTTAATATTATAGTATATTTTTTCATATTACTGTATTTGTATAATAGATAACATTTTTTGTTTTTATTTTTTACCAAACACGATAAATTTGAATGAAAATCTGAGTATATAATATATTTTTAAATATTCTTGTGGATTTATTATGGATATTGTTTAAATAAGCATTTTTGATTCTACCTACATTTTAAAATACATGACGGCATTAAATTTTTTGAAATCATATTAGAAAGTATCATGTTTATTTAAATATTTGTGCTATTATATTTATGATCAACTATTTATAGACAAATATTTCTAGTGCCGACAAGGCATAGTCGTTTATCAAATCTTTCAGTCACGCCATAAGAAACTTAAACTGGGTTTTACGCAAAAACTATAAATAAATCAGTTGAAATGTGAAAAAATAAAGAGCACCAGAACATAAGGCGCCTTTAGACAGATCTTTTGACACCGAACGTTTGGAATTCATCCAAATTCATTGAGCCATAATTTATATTTATCGAAGTAGTTTAAGACTGTGATATATATTGTAATTTTAACATTTGATTTTGTTCTGAACAGAATAAAACTCAAAATTTAGAAATAGATTTTCTAATTATTGCTTTTAGTAGTAAGAATATTCATTATTCCAAATAAAGTAGTAAAGTCGAGCTAGAAAATTTTCACTTGTATTAGCATTTCTTACGCAGTTTTGATGCTAATTTCAACCCTGTTATTCGACGTTTTTTATACTAAATGTAATTTTTTATTAAGTTATAAATTTGAACAGTACCTACAATAACACAAATTTTGAATTAGCACTGATAATAAGAGAAAGCATAGTCGTTTTAGCATTGATAATTTTAATCATTTTAAAAATTAGCGATAAAATGTATGTAATGTAATGTAGTGTTCATATTTACAAAATTAATATTTGTTTCACAGATAATACCATTTGGTATTTGATATATTGTATATATATATATATATATATATAATTTATTTTTATTTTTATTGCTTACACCTTTGCCAGGGTAAAGGTTCTGTTGGTATTTTATACCCCATCCGCGTGTAAGCTTTTACAGAAGTTATATAAAAAACTGTTTAATCTAACTTGAAATTAACAATATATCTTATAAAACAATTAAATAAAGTACACTTAAAAATTTTATTATCGTAAAATAACAATAACAGCGCCAACAACTAAAAAAGTAACAATGAAAAAAAAAAACTTTTGTTATGGATTTTCAAACATTGCCATTTATCTCCCGACAGCAACATCATAAGAATTAAAGTGATAGCTGGTAATACATCTTTTTCATCTGTTTTCAAATATCACTGTTAAATTTAAATAGTTGTAAATAAAAGAGTTACTAAAAAAAAAAAGACCTTTTCCACTCGGATGCCAGGCAAAATACGACCTAATCTAACAATTAGCGAGTTGAAAGGGTTAACTTTTGAGATTCGTGGTGGATCTTCTTATCCGCGGAATATTAAGTCCCATTATATATATATATATATATATATATATATATCGTATATATATATATATATATATATATATATATATATATTATAGCGTATATATATTGAAGAAACGTTAGTAATAAATTTACTAATTAATGATTAAATGTAACCAATTTTTAATAACTTCTTGAGTAGATTAGAGTTTTTTTTGGAATACTTAACGATGAGAATTGGAACATTTGTAGCTCTTCTGGAAGTGTGTGAAATCAAAGAATTCATTTAGATACAAAAATTTATTTGGCGCTTTATTATAATATTTTAGTTGTTACTTCTTCAACAGTTTAGGACTTACCAACTTTTATATTTTTACATTTTAAAATATTCCCATATTCGCCGAGGGTACATGAGCTATCATAAACTTTTATTAAGGGTTGTCTTGCAGATGTACAAGATATTCCGTTACTTGGGATTATACATCGTTCAATTATGTTTTTTTTTTAAATATTTTTGAACAGCAATCAGAGCCTTACGTCCTATGAGCTATTGGACTGAAACTTCTCCTTACTCCATTTTTTTTTAGATGGTAACCCAATGGTTAATCCATCCATATTTGATGATTTTTGTTATTAGAATTAATCTAATAGGGCTGACATTTTATTGGTACACCAATGCCGGGCAAGGGCTATTTTTACTTGGAAACATATTGCTATCTATATTTTAAAGTGAAAATCGTTGTCACTGCTGCCTGACAACAGGCTGCTCGAAGTGGGTATCGAACCCGGGACCTCTGAAACAAGTCCCGTCGCTCTTAACCGCTTACCTACGGGCGAGCCCATATCGTTCAAATGAATTTACTTATGACTATTATTTATAATTATAAAGAACAATTCTCAACAATATATATATATATATATATTTATATATATATATATATATATATATATATATATATATATATATATATATAAATATATAATATATAAATAGTTATAATATATATATATATATATAAATAAATAAATATATATATATATATATATATATATATTAGGGTGGTCCTTAATATGGACATTTTCGAAAATACTTGCTCCAATATGGAACCATTTGAGCAAGGAAATTCGAAAATGTCCATATTAAGGACCACCCTAATATATATATATATATATATATATATATATATATATATGTGTGTGTGATATTACAATTATATGTATACTAATATGTTTTTTCCTTTTTTTGCAGATACCGTTCTGGACCTGTTTCAATGAAACTTTGCAGGGTGAGTTCCATTTAATTGCCGTTGGTGTGAAGTCACTATCAATGGGAATAAAATAAAAGATAATATGAAATTCAGTCGTCTCCTTGCGTATAAATTGCTTTTGAGAGTGTGTACGTGGTATAAATCAGAGTTGACCTAGGGATACACTATATCAAATGCTTCAGATATCGAATCGCAATTACTCATTGTGTATTTTTCTTGCGTTTGTTTTATTTCCGGAACCGTTAGTTCCATCGAGAAGTGCTGGATGATAAGTGGTCAACAGGAAGAAATACTTGCGACTAATTGAGTAGGCGGAATTCAGAGAAGAAAAATGCATCTTGTATTACTTTTATGTAATACGCATGTCGAGATTTATCTGTATCATATGGGGGAACTAGGGGCTATATGTAACGGGGGTAACTAGTAACGTTATAGAGCTAAATTACACATGAAAAAAAGATTGTGCGTAAGGTTAACACACGATTGAAGTAAAACTTATTTGCTACTGTACAATTTAATGGCATTTAAGTAGAAATAAATACATCATATAACAATTTTGAATAATGTTCATTAGTAATATGGTAACACTCGTGATGCACATATTTATTAGTGTCAAATATTATACACATTTATATAATGATAAATTAGAAATTATATATTTATAATAGCGTTTAAAATATGTATAATATTTAAAAACAATCATGTTATTAAAGTAATACTTCAAATACAACATGATCGGTTTGTCATTGTAATTAGCATTTAGAAATGAACCTTCATTAGAGAAATGAAGTAATTGCTGATTAATAAATTCTATAATATTCGTTCACACAGTGGATTATGTTAAACAACGCCTAAACAATTATTGTTTTCGCAACTTCATTCATCGTGTAATAATTGTGTTTGTAGAACTTCATGTAATTAAAATTAACATACATTCATTGACTTTTTTATATTATATTTTTTTTACTTTTTCGCTTGCGATATAATCTCATTCTTTGAACAGCTGTAATATCTGTTTTGCCTAAAAATATTTTCCATTTCAATAACTTCAAAGATTTATATAAACTACGAATAGTATAGAAATTATTTCAATAAACTTATGTTTCATACACGACGCAAATGCTGTATTTGTTTTATTATTTTCATTATAATTATTTACGGGGGGGCAGGGTAAAATATTCTTCTGATTCAGACATTTTTCATTAAATCAAGATTTGTACTACGATGTATTTTTAAAATGTTTATTTATCTATGCCGATTTCCTTGTTGATATCGGTACGCATACAACGTTGATTCCGGTACGCATACAACGACAGATCTCTATTCACATACGCGACGACTAATTGCAATCGACCCATTATAGAAATTATCCTATCTTATCTGCCGTAACGCACTTCCGTTGCATTTGTACGGATTTACACCCTAGTCGGGTCTAAAGAAGTTTTACTTAAAAAAAATGAATAATCCGATAAAAAATAAAGAAAAAAAAAAAAATGTAAATAAGAGTGAGTTTACCAATAAAGAAAAATAAATAATTGAAAAATAAAATAATAAAACAAAATGTAGTAAGTGCTCCAATAAGCAATTGACTATGGCAAACTTTTTTTCACATTCTAGTCTATTTTTCGAAGTTTCTTGTGTAGTCTTCTTATAGGCGGATTATCAAGCAGATGAGCGATTGTTGCATTATAATGATTGTAAATTTTTGCATGGTGTTTAGTACTGGTATTTTTGATGATATCCACTACAAAAGGAATATTGAGGTCATCATGTATGATTTTGTTGCTAACAAACCATTGGACATCAGTAATCGTTCTTATTGTTTTAGATTGTAGTCGTTGAACAAATCCCACATTTGACTAATTTTAAAGTTTATAATTCTTATTAGTTTATATTCTTATAAAAATATGTCAATCTTTGATAATGTGCAACAATTTTAATGATTTGTTGTTTATATAGTTGTTTATTTATTTAATTTTATTGTTTAAATAGTTTTCTTGATTAATGTAAAAAAATCACACCTTGGGTTAATTGTAACAAAACCTTGGGGTTAGTTGTAACATACAAGAATTATATACAGATTCAATTTAAAAAGACAGGGTGAAATTTATAGTTTGTAAGATGTGGTAAATATAAATTATTTAAATTAAAAATACATGTTAAGTTTATTAATTTATCAATTGAATTTAAAACTAAAAAAGAAATTAGTAAATGTTTTTACTTAGCGAAATTTTACATCAATTTTGTATCTAACATCTTTTGTTAGATAGAGAGAGAAAGACGTTCTCCCTAGATTTTTTTTGTTAGTAGTTGGGTAATGCTGCAATTTTCGAATTTGTATCGAAATACCACTCACACCTAGTTTCTTATTTTAACAGCAATAAGAACTATTCTCAGTATTAGATGAGTTATTATGATGTATTTCAACTATCTGGATTTATAAGAATGCAACCGAATGGTTGTCTTTTTCTTTGTGATGATTTTTTTTAGTTTCCTACTTGTAATTAATAACTGCACCAATGTCTCGAAATCTTATTTTTATTTGGTAACAGATTTAGGCTTGGTTTTCAATTCAGAATTACTACTGTTTGATAGGTTGATCAGGTTATTCCTAGCACGGGATTTGAACTTGGAAGATTGTCCTGGTAAGGCCGAAGCACTTGCCACTGCACTACGAACGATTCGTATATTTACATCATATAATGTTGATTATAAATTTATTTAAATAAATCTGTGCACCTGTATTCATTTATTACATTAATCTATTTTATTTGCTGCTCTTGATTATAGTATTTATCCTACATTATTATGGGATTGAAATACGTTTATACTTATGTATGTGGTAAATACGCTCTTACCCAATGTTTAAAAAGTTGACAAATATGCCTTTGAGAAGCTTTTCTCTAATATTGAAAAAGAGGCATACAAGAGAACAAGGATTATAATCCTCGACGCGTATGCACTATATTTTTAATTTTATTTGCGGAATTTTTGCAATTACTACCGCTGACTGTTTATTCTTTCGTGTTTGTGTGAATGGAATCAGAATATGAGCTTGCTTGTTAACTTCCCGTAGGGGGGCTTCCATTAATCACGTGAGGTTTTTAGGGGGAGGGGGGGTTTGACAAAAAATCACGAAATATCACGTGGGGGAGGGAAAGGTATAGCGAGATATCACGTGCATTTATTTTTTTCACTATTTTTTATAAAAAAGTTCAAACATTTTTTAAAAAGATTAAAAATTTCACAGTTTTTTCACGTAACTAAAAATACACGTGATGTTTGGTGGGGGAGGGAGGGTAATTTTGAATATCACCAAATATCACCAAGGGGGAGGGGGGTCTAAAAATCCTTAAAAACTCGCTCACGTGATTAATGGACGCCCCCTAGGGCAAGTTATAGTAATCGCAAAAAAATCGAAAATGAAATTTTTTGCATTTCTCGACGTTTCAAAGGTTTCTGAATATTTTGGCATACCTTAGAAAAAATGGATGTATGTGTGTGTGTGTGTGTGTGTGTGTGTGTGTGTGTGTGTGTGTGCGTGTGTGTATGTATGTGCGGATACAAATTTTCGTCGACGATTTCGGGAACACCGATCCACCGATTTGAATAATTCAAAAAACATGCGATTCGTATTGATAAGGAGACGTGCTGATTAGTTTTTGGTGAAGTCAGGTCTAGCCGTTTCAAAGATACGGGGCAAAAAGTGCCGAAAACGCTAACTCAGTTTTTAAGAGAACGGAAAGTCCGATTTTAATAATTTAAAAAACATTTTACTTGTATTGACAAGGTGAAGAACCGATCAAATTTTCATAAAGGCAGGTCTAGCGGTTTCGGAGATCTAATGAAAAAAGTAAAAAAAAAATGCCATTTGACGGTCAAAAATGATCATTAGACATATGCACATCAAATTATCAGATATTTTATAGAGATTTTAACAATAAGTATAATTTTGGTTTACATTCCTATGGGTTCCGTACCAATGTTTACGCGTTAGACGTCGACGCGGCGCTTACGCGGTTTGATATTTCGTCTTTATGCAGTTAAAGCAGTACGATTGCTTTGAAAAAAAGTTTAGATCTTTCAAAATATGTCAAAATAAAGAAAACATTTTTTTTTCAAAAAAAAAAAAAAAATTAAGAAAAAATTTTTTTTTTCAAAAAAAGTAATTTTTTGTCTAATTGTTTGTCAAAAATCTTATTTTTTCGAAGTAAATTTTTTTCAAAAATGTTAATCGTTTTTAAAAAAATAATAATTTTTGGTACGGGAAGTTCTAGCAATTTGCCTTAAGGCACGATGCCTTAATTGCCTTAAGACAGAATTCTACTTACAGCTAGTTTTTCAGTTATTTTCAGATAAAATCTATCTCCATTTGAGACCCATTTACCAGCGCCATTCCGTTTAACGACTCCTGCTATTGCATCTAATGTTCTTATAAAAAATGTTTTGCAATATTACTTAAGTACAGAAGCGGATTATAGTTCATTTAGAGTCAATCTCATTTTTGAGTGAATTTAGATGCTAACAAATATAAATATTTTATTTTAGTCTGGAAAAACCTTGCTTCTCTATTTAACTATAAGTGAAATTGTACGGTATAACATAGCATTCTTAATTGATTATTATTATTATTATCATTACATGTTTCCAATTTTTATCATAAGTTATACTTTATTTCGCTCAAATAACAAAATAATCAAAGAATTTATAACGAGTAAATCTTTCTTAGTTATCCTCTTTAATTTTATTCAAATATTCAAATATGGAAACCAAATTAGAGTACCTAGAGAAAAATTGTGAATGAAGACACATACATTATACATTTAAATCTATTTTATTACACACATCAAGTATCTCGAGTCAATTAATCAAATATCAAAATTAGATGTTTGATATGTATTTTGCATTAGATAAAAAAGTATTAGAAATTTTTATGCTATTTCTATAGTGTTTAATTATTGAAATATTGAAATATATTGAAATTATTCTAGCGTTAAGCCTTTCTCTCGAGATATAAC